GAGGAAGGAGGGTGAGGTTTGTGGGCAGAAGAGAAAGCGCCTGTGGTTCACCACCGGAAGGCGGGCCACACCTGCGGAGATGCGCCTTGGGGTCCTCTGGGGGCCCCAGCATCCCTTTCGGTGTTAGTTATCCACTGCAGCGGAATCTCAACACTTAGTGGCTTAACACGATGGTGAACTCTGATTACCTCATAGTTTTTGTAGGTAAGGAATTCGGGAGTGAGTGAGGAGGGTAATTCTGGCTTTTGATCACTGAAGAGCTTGCAGCCTAGATGTCAGCCGAGGCTGCAGTCCTGTGGAGGGAGGATTGGCAGAGCCTGGAGGATCACTTCCCAAAAAGGTCACTCACACATCGGACAGACTGGTCCTGGCTGTTGGCAGGGGACCTCAGCTCCATGCCAAGTGAACTCCTCCACGGAGGTCACACACTGTATCATTTCCGCAGCGTCCTATTGGCTGCACAGGTTGGCCCTGTTCTGTGTGGGAGGGGCAACTGGTGTCGTCTGGTGTCTCTGGTGGGGGTCTCTGGTGTCGTCTTGGAGGCTTGTTGCCACACTGTACTTTGGGTCCATGGCTGATGAAATACCTATTGCTGGGAACTTCTAAAACCCAAGCAAAAATGTATTTTTTCTTAACCCTCAAAGTGAAGCATTCAAAATATGTCCAGCCATACTGGGAATCTGGGAAAGATCCTGAGGATATCCCAAAGAGGTCAGAACTCTAAGACAAACCTCACTCTACCCTTACTCAACATTTCCCCCAAACTCTTTTTAACTGTATGTTTCTTTTTATGTGAATTCTACATATCATTGAATGCACAAATTTCTTAGGTATACATTTGCTCAGTTTTGAATAATGCCTTATACGCTTGTAACACAAATCCCTAGAGAAGTACAGAAAGTTCCCCCACCTCAACAATAAAGATAAATAAATTATATTTTAAAAAGTTACCTCACATTACTTCCAGGCAGCGTGTACATACACACACACACACACACACACACACACACACACACACACACAGAGGCAACCACTGTTTTGATATTCTTCCACTGTAGTGTTTTATGTGGTTGAGAATCTATAATAATAAAAGCGTAATATGCAAATTGACTGAACATCAGGACAGCAGAATGACCATCTGGTTGACCTTCTGGACATCCATGCTATGATACCCACTGGCACCAAGGCAGGTGCGATGCGATTGGTCGGGGGCCTGGTCATCACCCCATGATCGCCCTGCAGAGGGAGGCCCAGACCACCAACTGTGGTGGGTGGGCAGGGCCTACCTCTTTGACCCATCACTAGGCTCATGGACTGTGAGAGGGGACAGGCCAGGCTGAAGGACTCCCCCACCCCACCCCAGTAGTTTCAAATAAGTGGAATTATACTCTTTTGTGTTTAGTTTCTTCTTTAGTTGTCATGCACCAGTAATTTTTCCCCTGTATTATTTTTAAATTTTAACCTACAGAACTGAAAGATAGCACAGTGAACACTCCTATACCCTTGACCTAGAGCCACCAATTAATAAAATGTTGCCACATTTGTTTTCTTTCAGTTTCTTTCTCTTTACTGAACCCCTTGAAAATTGCAGATACAAGACACTTCATCCTTAAATACTTCAGCATGTGCTCCTAAGAACAAAGACATTCTCCTCCATACCATTATCATGCTGAAGACATTTGATATTGATACAAAAATACATAGTCCATATTCATTTTCTCTAACAACATTCTTTAGAAAAGTGCAGGTGCATATTGTAGGAAATGTGGTAGGGATTGGAGCTACAGGGTCTGTGTCCTGACCTTGACCCCTCCTCTTCTCTCTCTCTCTCTCCCCTATTCTCTCTCCATCCCTTCTCCATGGCATCCAGTGTGCACTCAGTCCTGGCTTGGGTAGTCACCCAAATTCTTTCACCTGCTCAACTCCTCTGGGCAGTTTATTTCAGCAATATTTATAGGGACTTTCTCTCCTTTTCTTTGGTGGCTGACCCCTCCACAGTGTATCTCGCATACTCACATGTCCCCCTCTCCAGGAATGACTTACATGAACCTCTGTAATGGGCAGGAAAGAGCTTTTGTTCACTCCTCAAGGTACCATAGACACTGGAAAATAGTCCTCCCTCCTCTTTTTTGTGTGTGCTCAGGTCTAACTACTTACACAAACCTCCCTCCTCTCATCTCAGCCTTTCCCCCAAGGCACAGGCAAGTTTTCCTGGCTAAGAGTACACATATCTTTCCAACACACACACACCCACCCACCCACCCACACACACACACACACCCCCGCAATACCAGCAGCCTCACACTTAGGTCTGATTCTCTTCCACTGCCAGCCGGACCCTCTGAGTCTCCAGTAGGGTGAAGCAGGAGCCATGGAAGCCCACCTGGGTAAACGCCATGTTTAGGTGTAGATTCACAGCCCCCTCAGCTCTGCAGCTTCATTGCCCTGAGCCCTTGGTAAGCTAATGAGGCTTCCTACTTATCCCAAACCCCTAGGAATCCCTCCCAACCGCACTGCTCAGCTGGTCTCGGGGAATAAATAAGCCCTTTGCTCCAGACAGTAATTGGTCATTCTCAGTATTGGTCATTGTAAGTATTTATACTCAGTTCTGCAGCAGTCCCCTGCACTAGGGCATTGACAACATGCAGTGATGAGCCTCTTTCTGCAGCTGAGGGATGGGCCTGGGCATGGAGTTCACAGAGAGTCAGTGATGGGCTGATGACCTGGCCCATCTGGTAGAGCAGAATGGGACCCCAGGCAGGATCCCTGCCCACCTGCCTGCCCAGGAACAGTTTGAGGTTGTGCAAAAGGAGCTGCACATTTACTTGAAGACTTCACTCTAACCTTAGTTACTGCCCATGTCTGAAAGCCTGGCCTCATGAGCAAGTGGCAGGAGTCCCTTCTACTCCCTGTCTGGTGGATGGAAGCAGGGAATGGTGCACAGTGGTGCGTGGCTATCAAAGCAGATGTCAACATTTGGGCAGAAACTCTGGCCCCCACCTGTTGTACCTGCTCTACGCTGTCCATGCAGGGAAAGCTGCCCTCCTGCCTCCAGCAGTGCTGAGTGACATTCACAAAGTTAGGCTTCCAGGATGGAGTCATGTGGTTAGACCAATCTGGGGGTGGGTCACTATGTACCAGGAAGGTTCACCAGGTATTTTGAAAGCCAATTCAAAAAGTAGTCCTTTTGGCTCTGGCTGGTGTTGCTCAGTAGTTAGAGCATTTGCCTGTGCACCAAAGGGTGGCAGGTTCCATTTCCTGTCAAGGGCACCTACCTGGCTTGCAGGTTTGATCCCCAACTTGGTTGGGGTGCATGTAGGATAGGGGTGTTGAACTCAATCAGAGAAGGGGCCAAAATCTAAAATCCAGCCTAAATCTCGGGCCGAATGGTTTACTGAACAGTCATAAACTGTCATTGTGATGAAAACGCAGCGGAGTGCAGTGATGACAGCGCGGTGCGGGCCACATTGCAAGGCCTGGCGGGACGGATTTGGCCCGCGGGCCTTGTGTTTGACACGTGATGTAGGAGGCAACCAATAGATGTCTCTCTCATATCAATACCCTCCTCTTCCCCCTCTCCCCCTATCCTTCTACTCAAGCTAAAGAAAAATTAATGGAAAAATATCCTTGGGTGAAGATTAATAGCAACAACAAATAGTCCTTTTGTCATTTGCAGAGGCCGGAAGTTATAAGGAAAGGGTGACAGAATTGACAGGGATGGGAAGGAGCCCACCTTGTACCTTCAAGGCTTAATCGAGCCCCCACCTTCCTGTTCCTCACCCTTTCCTAAGCTCTTTGCTCATTTGGAGCTCCCCTTTGTACCATCCCCTGGGCACTTTTTAATCTGGGTCGTTCATTCTAATGTTTACTTATATGTTGTATTAGAGATCTGAGGTGGTTTATAAAAACATAAAATGAAGATTAAAAACGCAGGTATAATATTGTCTCAGAGAAAAGCATAGTCTTACACAGCTGCTAAAGGGGCCAGACATTTTCTCTAAGTCTCCTGGAGGCCAGAGATAAAGGGCAAACCTCCCCGGTCCATTAGGTGTGATCAGGCTGGTTTTTAGGATCAGCACATCTTCTCTCAAAACTGAGAACTGAGAAAAATCTCCCGGCGGGCCCAGCCAGAGTGACCTGCTGCACTATCTCATCTGAGAACACCGCTCATTTTTTATGACAGTGGGGTGTTTGTTTTGTTTTGTTTTGGTTGTGGTTCTTTCTTTTTAAAAAAATCAAAGTCACAAGTTGACTCAAATAGCGTTGCTATGGTAACTCATTCCTTTGGTAGAAATGAGAAAAGCATAAGTCAGTGCAAATGAATAAGAAAGAATCACAGGAAGAGGGAAAGGGTGGGAGATGCATTTTACAGCTTATCAAGATCAGAGGACAGAAATGCATCTGTAAAAACAATAACAACAAAAACACCCAAAAAACAAAACCTAAGCTCCCAGACTAGTGCATCCCCACTACAGCACCCATCACAGTGATTGGCCCAGAGTAGTTCCAAATTGTTATTTATCACGTGGGCATTAGTCCTCCTTTGTGTAACTTACAATGTGTGTTTAACAACTGCTTCCTTATCGCTTCACTTGACCAAAGAATTACAGCTTGATGACGCTGCAGTGTTTCAATTTGCCAGCAGGTGCCGCCAGCTAACACGATTCAGAGAAGCCTGAAAATGCCAAGTTCTTTGTCCCTATTTTAAAACTTTCCATGGAACCTAAATGTAGGCAAAGTACAAATTCCTAAGTAAAACAGTGCTTCAGATTTGATCTAACTCACTTTTTACGGCTTTGGATCTTACCAATTCAGGCACCCATTCAATCAGCAGAGGTTTATTGAACATTTATTTTTTATAAGGTGCTATGGTGGGTGCTGGAGATAAAAAGATAACAGAAATTTCTTCTCTGCTCTGGAGAAAATCACTGTCTGTTCCACCTAGGAAAGGGCTAAGCTGCTGTTAAAGAGACAATTACACACACACACACACACAGGCTTGAAGATTCGATTTATTTACTTCTCCATCAGTTAGGTGGGCATCTGGCTTCTTCCCATCTTGTAGCCTGTCATCACCCATAAGATACTGTCCTTGTGTCATCATCCATAGTTGTTGTCCTTAGTTGTATGGTCAAAGTTGGGTCATAATCATTTCCATGCTTCAGCCTAGAAAGGGAAACAGAAAATGAGGAAGGCAAGCAATTTCCTTTGAAGCAAACACAGAAGGTGCACCTACCCTTTTATTTACATTCCAGGGCATGAACCTAGTCATGTGGCTTCATCTAGCTGAGAGAAGGCTGGGAAATGTAGTCTTTAACTAGGCAACAGCATGCCCACTTAGAAATCTGGTCAGAAAGTATCTCTTTTTTACACAATCTAACTTTACTTTTAATTAATTCACGAAACAATTTTATATCTTCTAGATTTGCTATCAATTTTATTTGCACTGTCAGGGTTTAAAAATTCATAGAAATTTGTGATGAATAGAATGCCCTATAGCAGCTTTACTGTGCACATGTCATATTCCTGAGACATACTATTGCCCATCAGCAGTGACAAGTATTATCACAACGACAAGTGAGTTGCTAAAATTCCAGTGAAATGAAACTTAAAATCAAGTCTACTTTCTACTCATGAGAAAATGATATTTGAATTGGCTTCTCTATTCTATAAAAGGAGAGAATGGATATGGAGGAATAACTACCTGTTTGCCCCTAGGTGATTTCTGTAAGTTGCACCCTAAAGCTCCAACTTGAATTTCTCCACAAAGCTTTTCTTGACCTTGTCAGGCTGAGTTGACTTCTCCCTTTTCTAAACTTGATTCTTAAAAAAAAAAAAAAATTGATTTCAGAGAGGGAGAGAGATGGAAATATAAATGTTGAGAGAGAATCATTGATTGTCTGCCTCCAGCATACCCCCTATTGGTGAGCCCACTACCCGGGCATGTTCCCTTGATTGGAATTGAACCTGGGACCCTTCAGTCTTCAGGTTGATGCTCTATCCACTGAGCCAAACCAAGTAGGGTTGACCTTGATTCTTGATTGCTACGTCACTGCACGGTATTTACCCATTTATTTACTTTTGTGGAAGAGACAGCTAGTTATTACCAGTTTTTGTTCTTTCCCTCTTCCTTAAACTTTCTTTCTCCAAGCTTTGTGGTTGGCACATGGCTGAATGGAATAAGGTGGATATTTGTCAAGTTCTTTTACCGCTATTTGTGGTTATGTGATTCAGTTCTGGCCAGTAAGATGCAAGCAGAAATAATGTGTGACAGCTTTCAAGAAACTCTTTGCCTCTTCTCTTCCCCATTCCTGCTGGCTGGAATAGCAATGTAATAGCTGGAGCTATGGCAACCACCTGAGACCATGAGATAATCTTGGGAATGGAAGCCATGCACAACAGGGTAACAGGAAAAAAGTCTTGGCTCACAGTACTGTAGTGTGCCACACTAGCTTTGAGTTACTATGTATATCACTTTTGAGAGAAATGTAAACTTCTGATTTATTTAAGTCCTTGTTGTTTTGGGCTTCTCTGTTACACCCAGCTAAACTTAATCCTTACTATAAAACTCGTGTCCTTGAAACTTTCCAGTAGACTGTGAGCCCTGGAGACCAAAGACTGCTTTTTAATCATCTTTACATTTCTAGTGCTCTTTCTTTAGACTATATTCATGTAAATGAGATAGATTCCACTTGGAGCCTAACCAGATTGGTTCCATTCTACAAATGGTCCCTTAGGCCTACTGACCAGCCCTCTTTTGCTTTTCCAGTCCAGCCATTCTTATACTCTTAAAAGCATGATTTGAAACAAACTCTCCTCTCCTCAGATCATCTCATTCTCTTACTGTACAGTGAAATAGAAGTGGTTGAGACAGCAATTGCCTCTTTTCCCCAATACCCAATGAAAAGTCAACCATTTTGTCTTGTTACGGGTGAATCTTGACCAAGAGTCCTTCATATGAACATAAAACTGCCCACTATCTGCTTTCCCCACTCTTGTTCTCAATCTCTGGCTCCTGAATCCTTTCTATTAATTCCATAACATACACAAATAATTTATGAAAAGAACAAAACAACACTCTAGACATATCTTCTCCACTCATATCTCCTTTGTAACCAAACTTCTCCAAAGAGTGCTCTACACTCCCTGCCTCCGTGGTATCACTTCAACCCCTTCAGCAGCATCACTGAAGATGCCCCTGTTGCTAAAGCCAATAGATGAGCTTCCATCCTCTTCTCAGCCTCTCCGCAGTGCTGAACCAGGTTGACTATTCACCCTGGAGATGTCTACTTTCTTGACTGCGTGCATCCCACCTGTCACCTCACCTTGTCCATCCCTCTGTGGACCTTTCCTCTCTGCTCATCTATTAAAATAATGATTGCACTCTTTCTTACTCTTTCCTCTCTCATGTGACTTTCCTCATTACCAAAGCCTCTGGCATGCTCTGTAAGTGGACAACTGACACATTTATTTCTCCAGGCCAGATATTATAGCCAATTGCCAATCTGACATATCTTCCTTTGCAATATATAAACCATCACACTTTGAAATACCAAACTCTAGACCAGTGGTTGGCAAACTGCGGTTTGTAGGCCACATGCGGCTCGCGAGCCTCGGTTTGCTGCTCTGTTGACTAATAAGTTTGCCGACCAGTCATACACTACCCTTTACCTCTTTGTACACAATATTCCACAATTGCCTAATCCTCACAGCTTCCAGCTGCACGGTAACATTTAGTCTAGTCCAGTGGTCGGCAAACTCATTAGTCAACAGAATGGCAGACCATGGCTCACAAGCCGCATGTGGCTCGAGAGCCGCAGTTTGCTGACCACTACTCTAGACCTTCCCTCCATAACCTGACAGCACTATCCATCAAGTTGCACAAGCCAGAAATCTAGATGGCATTCTTAACACTTCTCTCATTCGCACATCCAGTCCATTCCTAAATATTATTTATTTTATCTCTAAAATATCTCTTGAATCTGTTTACTTTTCTAGATTTCTGTCACCATCCCCCAAGTTCAAGCTCTCATCTTCTTTCTCCTGGGCTCTTGTAATAACATCTTAACTGTGTCTGCTTATGCCCACTTTCACCTTCCCACCCCCATTCTGTTCTAAACTGTTAAAAAGATAAACTGAAGCATATTAAAATTTTAAAAGTTTATTTGAGCAAAAATAATTTTGCATTGGGCAGCATCAAATCTAGCAGATGGAAAAGAGTTCAGAGGAGCTGTATAAAATGAAAATCTTTTATAAGTAGAAGGGAGCAGGAACAAGGAAGTCATACTAGGCAAAAAAAAAAAAAAAGTATGTTGGTTATTGCAAAATTACTTTCCATTAGGGCATGTCCGAGGCTTATCAGGCAGATTACCTAACTAGTACTGATTAGGTGATCCCGATTGACTAGTTTAAGATTCCATTTCTGGAAGAGCTGAAACTATGATTAAGTCTTGGTTTGCTGACATGGGATTTAACATAAGTGACTCCATTTTGGGCCTGTTGTCTTGTTTTAACACTGCACAACAGTGAAAGTGAGAGTTTAAAAACACAAATCAGAGCATGACACCCTATATGCATGTATATGCTTAAAATACTTCAATAGCTTCCCACTGCTCTCAGAATTAAGAAAAGGCAACTCTTTAAGTAGCTCACAGGGATCTTCATGTTCTGTTCCTCCTTTCTTCTCCAGCATCCTTGCATGCCACACTCTTCTCCTACACTCAACCTTTCTCATTACTTCATACTTGCCATGATGCCTTCCAGGACAGGACACTGGCATGAGTCATGCCTGCCTGGAAAGTGCTTCCCTCCCCATCTTCACCTGGTAAACCCTTGACTCGGTTGTTCACATGTCACTTCCTCAGGGAAGCCTGCCATGAATTCTCTCTCTGGCTGGGTCTGTGCCTATTATTACTCATGTATGTAACTCTCCTTCATGTCCCACTTATTACAGGTATAACCTTTCATTAGTTTGTGTGATGAGTTGATTGATGTCATATTCACAGTTATATCCCCTTTGTGATTATTTCCTTCTCAAACTAGACTGACCTCCAGTGTCCTGGAGGCAGGGGCATATCTTACGCTCCTTAATCTCCTTCAAACGGCCCAGCCTGTTGCTGGTGTCTAGTTATGATTGGCATTGCTAGTAGGTTCTAAGCCCCTTTTCACAAAAGTATGGGTTTACATATGAATAATTCTCCTTGTGTTTAGACAGCCACCTATTAGCCTGTAATAGAGTCAGAGAAGAGGCAATTCATCCATCCATTTATGCTCTATACAGGTACTTAGTCAAAAAAATATTCATTGACATCAGGCAGAATGGTAGGCAATGGGGGATGCAGAGGTGGATAAAACACAGTAGCTGATGACAGGGCTTCCCTGTATAGTACTACTAGATGTGCACTGTACAAAGTAGCCAGTAAGGAAAGGAGCACAAGCCAAAATCCAGTTCATATTTATAGGCAAGCCCCGAAGCAAAAGGCCTTCCTATGCCCAGAGGGAGTGCCTTTATCAATTGCCTAACATTGTGGGAAGGAAGAAGAATGCTCTATGAAGTAAGTGCTGGAATTAAGAGAAGGCTCCAAGGGCACAGAGGAAAGAGCAACTCAAACCAATGGAGAGCTTGAGTAGGCTCTCGAAGGAATGAGTTACCAGACTGAATCCCTCTGGCGCAAGGTAAGCATGGATATTCTTCTCTGACTCAGTTGTTCTGTCCCAGAAGAGTCACCAGCTACCAGGACAGGGAGAGTGGGTAGAGAGGAGGAGGAAGGGGAAGTCATTAACAGAGGAAAGGAGGCCCTGGAGCCATTTTGCTCTGGTTTGACTCTGAACATATTTATATTGCAAACATGCTCTCTATGGAGACACCCAATCAGAACTGAAACCACACAGGCATGGAGCATCCAGGCTCCCAGGTGTAGCAGTGATACGCTAATTCATAATCACCTCCTCCCAGTCTTTCCCCAAACCTAATTGCAATGGGCCACGAAGGCAGGGTTGCTGGGAGAGGCAGTTCTGTGCAGCAGAGGTCTAGGCTGTGTTGGTGAAGAGGAGAGAGAAAAAGGAGATAAGGTTGAGGTTTGACCACATTGCTTCAATTTGTGAAGGCTTTCATTTCTGGAGCCAGAGATTCCACTCACATATTGAGCCCAGAAGCCACAACCCCT